ACACACAGATCAAGATCAAGCTCAGTGAGAAGAAATTCCATGTCAACTCCAACCAAAGGTAAGAATTGTAAAGGAAAAATGTGCATCACTACAATGATAGTCAAGGATCCGGGGTTTCTCAGTGAGGTTCCCAAGCCACGGAGAACATCTACTTAGGTACAGAAATGCAGCTGCAGTGAAGTGTCACCTCACAGCCCACTGGCACAGAGACCTAAAGGCAACCACCTTGGAAACTGAAACAAGCTCTGCCTCCATAGCTAGTTCTGCCCTTCACTTTTCATGCAACAGAACTAAGGGCTGTGGCTGCTGTCTATGAAATGCTGAAATACCTTTCCTTCAGGTTTTCATCCTGAGATGTGAATGAGGCAGTTGGAAGCATGGCTGACACTGTTCAGCTTCACTTTACCTCTCCCAACAGCTTCTCCACTCTGGCAACAGCATTTATTCCTGGAAGGTAGGTAGGGAATAGCAGGCTATCCCCAGCTAAAGCCATGATTTCTCAAGTTGGCAATGACTAGAGCTGCTGCAGTAGACAAAACAAACCCAGGGATCCCCTCACCCTTCCACCCAGGGCAGGAGGGAGAGGACACACCATGTCCTGCTGAGTTAAGCAGCATCCAATCTATGCTCAGTCACCTTCCTCTTTTCTACCCTAAATCACAGTTTCCAGTCACACTGGGGGGTGTGGCTGAAAGAGAACAAACTCTATAATATATTGTTTCTCCAGAAAAATTAAGAAAGAGAAACATTCATGAGCTTCGTAGCTTTGCTTCCCCAGCTCTGAGACTTCTTTTTATTTAGTCCTCCCAAAAAGCTGTCAGAGAAAACTTCTTCTTAGGTTGAACATTAGGAAGAAATTCTTTAGTGTGAGGGTGGTGAGACCCTGGCCCAGGTTGCCCGGGGAAGCTGGGGCTGCCCCATCCCTGGAAGTGTTGAAGGGCAGGTTGGATGGGGCTTGGAGCAACCCGGGCTGGTGGGAGGTGTCCCTGCCCATGCAGGGGGTTGGATCTAGATGATCTTTAAGGTGCCTTCCAACCCAAACCATTCTACTATTATTCTATTATTGTTATTGTTATTGTTATTATTAAAAGCAGCTGTTACCGAGAGGCTTTATTTGAAGATATTCAGAGTTTCAACATCTCCCTCACCAGACTTTACCTCACCATCTCCTACTAGGAGAGCACTGATGGGTAATGAGACCAGAGTGAAAATGCAAAAAAATTGTGCTCTTTTTATATTCACACACTAATTTTGTCCACCTACCTCTTTATACCCAACTATTCAGCAGCAGCAGGCATATGCAATGTATTTTAAGAGAACAAATCACAATAATTTGGGAATAATAGGATACAGTAGAAATTGGCAGCCCCTCAATTATCATTCTGCTGTAGGGGTCAAGCTGTGCAAGACAATACCCACAAGATATAAGAGAAAGGTGCAGAAAAGAGAAAAAGAGAAGGAATTTCATCTGGATTGGGCAATAAGAGGCCTGAGTTTTATGAAAATAAGTCATGGACTTGTTAGGGTGGTGAAAAGTGGAAGGCATGTGTCAGCTGGACATCAAGCCCTTCCAAATAAACAAATAAAAGGTAACATCATCTGTGATGTGCTAGAGTGTTATTTTGCATAGACTGAGGTTTCATGGTAACTTTGTGATCCTGTATTGTGATTTATTGCTTTAATATAATTTGCATCTCAGGGAAAACTATTACTCATGCTAAGTGAGAACCCTCTGTGTCAATATCAAATGTAACAAACACCACCCCTTTTCACAGTTCTGCTTCTAATTCTTAAACAGGCCCAAAATAGCCCCTTTATGTAAGGCAGCAGCAGAAAAGCAGCCTCTTCCTTGGCAAGGCACAGCAGCAGGTACAGGACTTCTTCCACCTCCTGAAAACCCTGCCCTGAAAACCAGCCCCCTTTGGCTGACGCAGTTTGCAGCCCACATTCCACTTCAGTTCCATCTTTCCCAGTCAGCATTTCCATAATTTTAACCAAATAAGAGGTCAAAGCCTAACAATCTTTGGATATCCCTGTTAACAGGGGAATTCGAGGCACTTGATGTTTAAACTTAAAAATTAAATGTAAGAGTTGTCAAGGAGAGGAGCTTATTAATTTATTTTGAAAAGACAAATGTTAGTGATTTTGCTATTGTTGTCCCATGTTTATTTAAGGGGAAATCCAGTCCCTTTGTGGATGGGATTAACCTACAGTCTCCCTACAAGAGCTACACAATCATCTTCTAAAAATAAGCTGAACAGATAAAATGTTTTAGATTAGAAATCTAAAAATGGGTTATTTGCTCAGAACAGGAGAGCATGGCTGCAAGCACAAACAGGCCATACATCTTCCTCCACGAATCATGGAATGGTTTGGGTTAGAGGGACCTTAGAGATCATCTAGACTCAACCCTCTGCATGGGCAGGGACACCTCCCACCACACCAGGCTGCTCCAAGCCCCATCCAACCTGCCCTTCAACACTGCCAGGGATGGGACAGCCACAGCTTTCCTGGGCAACCTGGGCCAGGGTCTCACCACCCTCACAGGGAAGAATTTCCTCCTCATGTCCAACCTAGATCTCCTCTCCTCCAGCTTAAAATCATTAACCCTATCACTAAACACTCTGGTAGAAAGCCCTTCCCCAGCTTTCCTGGAGCCCCTTCAGGGCTCTGAAACATTGTCAGCAACAGACACACAAACTCCCATCTCAGGGCAGCAGCGCTCAAAGGCAACCAACTGCTGCTTCAAGTGGAAAATGGATCCATCACCCCCAGTAAACAGACCTCTCCCCAAAAGTGTGTCCACTTAAGTCACTCTGTGATCTTCTTCTGCCCTAAATACTCCAATAATGAACTTCAGACAGAGCTGAAATCATCCCTAAAGAAATCTTAGTCCAAGAACTGCTCAAATCACATAAATATTGAGTATGTGCAGGTTTCCAGGTTCCACTACTACCTGTAAATAGGCCAGAACACTAATTTGAAGCATCAACTCTTTGTATGCTCAGCCATTCCATATAAGCAAAATACCACAAGGATTTATTTCATTACCTTTCTTAATGCATGTGTTTATTTTTTGGTTCCTCACAACTTATTATGGTCAGGGTTTTATCTCTGTAACTAAGAATAATAATGTGGTATACACATCTAAAACCTAGTGTTTTAGACCATAAAATAAGCTAGAAATTAAATTAAATAGCTCCAGTGAGTACTCTCAGGCTCAGAGTCCAATATTTCTGGTTAGGAAAAGGCAGATTTGATTTATTTCAGTTTCAGTTCTCCTTAAAACACCAGCAGTATTTAACTGGTAGACACCTAAGAGGCAGTCAGTGCCACACAGTGAACCCCCCCCCGGAGTCTGTCACCAGAAGGAGACAGGCCAGGTGACACAACAGTTTTCACCGCACAGCCTGCAAAAGCCTGATGCGCTGGAACAGCAGCAAAAACACAAGAACCGTCCCGAAGCCTCCGGGCGGGAGAGCTGTCAAAGGTGGTTTTGCTGTGGCCGGAGAGCAGCCCTCGCCAGCAACCGGGCGTGCATCCTCATCCCCGCTCATTAGGTCCCAAGGGCACCACCCCGAGAGCCTCCCAGTCCCGGGGACACCGGGAAGAAGCCGGGCGTGAGTAACTCCCTGGACGCTGCTCGGGGCTGCCTTTTTTTTTTTTTTTCCCCAGCAGGATCGTGGGCCACCGCTCCTACCAGCCCAGCCCTGAGCAGGGACGCTGCTCAGCTGCTCCCGCAGCCGGTGACCCCAGAGCTAACGGGGAGCTCCCCAACCCGCTCTGAGGGAAAGACGCTGAGGGGAGGAAGAGGCAGTGAAGGGAGGGAAAGACGCTGAGGGAAGG